GAGGTCCTCGTCGCCGCCGCCGCCGCCGCCGAAGACGTCGTCGCCGCCGCCGCCGCCGCCGTCGTCGTCTTCGTCGTAATAGTTGTCGATTTTTCGTAGATCCTCGACATTCAAGGCTTCTTGTTCGCTTCAGTCTTCTGGGGGCCGCTTTCGGGGCCCGGGGCCGTCAAAACCGGATCCAGGACGAAAAACTACCCCGGATTGTCGTCGTCGTCGCGCAACTCCTCCCCGTCCTCCCCTTCCGTCAAGGTTCTGGTTCCGCTGGGAGCGGTGTCGTAGAGAGCGGGCCATGCAGTACCCGGGCAGTACCCGGGCCGCCGCTCTGCTTCTTTTTGCGCCTGCCTCCGTATCGCGATTGGCGTGGCCCTAGCGCCTGCGCAGCTGACGGCACCGAACGCGCCGCCTCCCCCCTCTGCCGGGGTCTCGGCCTCTCCTCCGCCTCTACACCTGGTTGCCTATCCCCTCGCCTCGCTTCTCCCAGGCGCCACCGTTGTGTGCCCGCTCAGCTGCGCCGCCCACCAGGCAAGGCTTGCGTGCACTCCTGATTTTCTCCTCCAGGCCCCACAGTGCTGCGTGCTGACGCGCGCCCGGGGGGCCACAGACGATGGCGGCCAGAAAGCTCGCTCTGCCTGACGTGTTGCCCCAAAGCTGGAGGCGTCGGGGCTTACGTAACTGAGCATGTCTGTCTGTCCCTCGCCATGGAGAGTCGTACCTCTGGGATGGCAGAACAGCTCGTTCGTGAGGAAAAAGGGCCTTGCACGATCTGACTCCTCAGCTGGAGGTCGGGGGGCTGGCAACAGCGCACACAGGAGGCGGAGGAGGGTGGAGGAGGAGGCGGGCCGCCTGCACGCCTGCACTGTTTGACTGTGCAGGGCCCGGGCCGCCGCTCTGTTTCTTTCTGCGCCTGCCTCCGTATCGCGATTGGCGTGGCCCTAGCGCCTGCGCAGCTGACAGCACCGAACGCGCCGCCTCCTCCCTCCTCCGGGGTCTCGGCCCCTCCTCCGCCTCTACACCTGGTTGCCTATCCCCTCGCCTCGCTTCTCCCAGGCGCCACCGTTGCGTGCCCCCTCAGCTGCGCCGCCCACCAGGCAAGGCATGCGCGCACTCCTGATTTTCTCCTCCAGCCCCCACAGTGCTGCGTGCTGACGCGCGCCCGGGGGGCCACAGACGATGGCGGCCAGAAAGCTCGCTCTGCCTGACGTGCTGCCCCAAAGCTGGAGGCGTCGGGGCTTACGTAACTAAGCATGTCTGTCTGTCCCTCGCCCATGGAGAGTCGTACCTCCGGGATGGCAGAACAGCTCGCTCGTGAGGAAAAAGGGCCTTGCACGATCTGACTCCTCAGCTGGAGGTCGGGGGGCTTGCAACAGCGCACACATTTGGGCCCGCCTTCTGAGGGGGAAGTTTATCCCCAGCTCGTACGGTTGTGGTTGTACGCTGTGAGGGGGGCCCGATCACCATCATCATCATAACCAGCGTCATCATCATCACCGCCATCATCATAGGTACGCAGGCCACGTGACTCGACAGATGGAGTACGACCCATGTCGTTTAACTTCGCAGGTGCTGCAGTGGAACTGTCAGCGCGTTGCTCGTCAGAACGTCCGCAAAGCTTCGGACCGGCAGGGTTTTTCAAGATTCAGCCCTTGGAACTGGGAAGGCCAGTTCACTAGATTCTATGATACGCCTCCTCCTTCCATCCTGTGGAGCCAAGTCTGCTCGGCGGGAGGGCCCGGCCGGCCTCCCGCGCGGGCCGGCCTCGAGCACCGCGTCGGGGCTCGTCTGCAGGCGGGTTGCTGATTTTTTACCCTGTGGGTTATTCAGGATATTTCCCCTTGGAGGCGGGCTTTTGATTTCACCCTAGGGCCACAGATCCTGGCGTTGCAGTTTTTTCGCGCCTGGCGTTTTCGTTCAATCTCGGGCCCCCGGACCCTCGCAGATCGATCTGGCCCGAAAAATGACACAGAAAGGTATGGTCTGAGGTTCCAGTCGTGATGTTTTCCGATGTCGCATGTTTTTTGCAACGTCGGATCTCAGGCCAGGGGGTATTCCCTTAGGATACCCTAGGATACCCTAGGATTTTCCCCTAGGATGTTCCCCTGGGATATTCCCATGCTTATGACACCCTTCGTTCCCCTAGGATATTTCCCCCTGTAGGCGGGCTTCTGATTTCACCCTACGGCACCGAGATCCTGGCGTTGCAATTTTATCGCGCCTGGCGTTTTCGTTCAATTTCGGGCCCCGGGACCCTCACAGATCGATCCGGCCCGAAACATTTCGCAGAAAGGTAGGGTCTGAGGCTCCAGTCGTGATGTTTTCCGATGTCGAATTTTTTTTGCAACGTCGGATCTCAGGGGATATTCCCTTAGGATACCCTAGGATATTCCCCTAGGATGTTCCCCTAGGATATTCCCATGCTTATGACACCCTTCTTTCCCCTAGGATAGTTCCCCCTGTAGGCGGGCTTCTGATTTCACCCTAGGTCCCCGAGATCCTGGCGTTGCAATTTTATCGCGCCTGGCGTTTTCGTTCAATCTCGGGCCCCAGGACCCTCGCAGATCCATCCGGCTCGAAAAATGACGCGGAAAGGTAGGGTCTGAGGCTCCAGTCGTGATGTTTTCCGATGTCGCATGTTTTTTGCAGCGTCGGATCTCAGGGGATATTCCCTTAGGATACCCTAGGATACCCCAGGATATTTCCCCTTGGAGGCGGGCTTTTGATTTCACCCTAGGGCCACAGATCCTGGCGTTGCAGTTTTTTCGCGCCTGGCGTTTTCGTTCAATCTCGGGCCCCCGGACCCTCACAGATTGATCTGGCCCGAAAAATGACACAGAAAGGTATGGTCTGAGGTTCCAGTCGTGATGTTTTCCGATGTCGCATGTTTTTTGCAACGTCGGATCTCAGGGCAGGGGGTATTCCCTTAGGATACCCTAGGATACCCTAGGATATTCTCCTAGGATGTTCCCCTCGGATTTTCCCATGCTTATGACACCTTTCGCTTCCAGTGCAAACTTCGTCCTTGGTACGTCAATGTTTATGTAATCTGGACGGTACCCCACGCAACTGGGTGGAACACCGGCGGCGCGGCCGGCCCAGACAGCAGTGGGCTTCCCAAGTGTACGAGATGACGCAGCACATCTGAGGCCCCACCTCCCCCGTCCTTGTCTTCCTCCCCTCGCCTTGTTTTTTCCCTTGTTCCCTCTACGTGTACCTCGGAGCAGTATTGTGTTCCATTTTCTGCTTCACAGTCGCGTTGCGCTCCGCTGCCTGCTTCACAGTCGTGGGGCGCTCAGCGTTCTCCCTCTCTGTTGCAGTTCTTCTGAAGAGTCGCCAATTGCGCGCTCTTCCGCCCACGCGTCCTACCGGATGCACGGCTTAGTGGTGGTTATGACACCTTTCATTCCCCTAGGGTGTGCCCCCTGTAGGGGGACATGCCCTTGGTGGGCCCCGGAAACGGCAGGGCCGTTTTTTTTCACCGTTTCCACAAGAATATCTTTTGAAAATGGAAACGGCAAAAAAACGGCGACCGGAAACGGCAAAGAAACGGCTCCAGGATTGGAGCCGGAGCCCGAACCGGTCAAACAACGGCGACAGAATTTGTAAAAAACGGCGTCGGAACCGGCAAAAAACGACAAAACGGAACCAGTAAACAAACGGGCTTGTCGAGGGATTCCGACTCCCTTCGAGTCGGCTTCGGGCCCCGCTCTGGATGCCGACTCCTCAACAACGGAGGCCCACTGGCCTGCCGATGTCTGCCGATTCGACTTCTCTCCCGACTCGGCTGCCGACTTCCGCCGATCCGATTCCGCCCGATCGCCGATCCGACCTGTCGAGCTCGACTGTGGGCTCTCCCGCCGCTGGGCCGCGGTGGCCTCCGCCCTCGCCCCTTCGCCCGCCTGCCCCCGCGGCCTCCCACGTCCCGCGCCCCCCCGTCCTCCCCAGAACCCCCCCCTCGCGTGGCGAGACAACGCGCGACGGAAGTGCTCCTTCGCTGCGTTGGGCCCCCATGGGGGCCACTGCCGGGCCTCGGGGCCGTCAAAGAACGGTGCAGGATGGACACGGTGTGCGAACAGGTGAAATTCGTCGGATGTGTTGTGGTGGTGTGAGTTTCCGTCTCAGCACATCTTGTTTGTATTTCGGTTAGTTTACTGACAGGACAGAAGCCAGCCCCAGTGAAGGGGTCCAGACCCCTGGGGGTCGACGTCGCGACAAAAATCACGACGTCGGGGGTCTGAGTCGCCCCTCCCCGCCCCCCCGCGACCACGACGACGAAGGATCGCAACCGTTTCGGACCGATCGTCGACCACTTCGGACCGATCGCAGCCAGTTGCGATCGGTCCGACCGAAGTGGTTGCGAGGCTTCGGGGACGCTTTCATGAGGCCTCGAATCACGGGAACAGCATCAGAGCGCTTCTGGATGCAGTGAGTTCCCTTAAGCTTCCCGATGGGAATCTGGGATCTCGCTCTCCTCACCGCGAGGCCCTCGTGGAGCCACCTGAATGGGCTTAAACGGGCCCGATCGTTATCGTTGTGGTCGTAATCGTTGTTTTTAAGTCGGGCCTGTCCCCCTACAGGGGGATTTCCGGCGAAAAATAGGAAATACCAAACGAATGCCCCAAAAAGGTCAAACAATGCTAAAAAATAGTCCCCAGACTATGTTTGGATTCTGTTTTGAGCATTTTGGGGGTACTTTTTATTTTTCGTCGAAAAGCCCCTTGTAGGGGGACAGGCCCGACCTAACGTTATTATCGTTGTCCCCGTTGTTATCGTTGTCATCGTTATCGTTATCGTTATCGGGGGCACACAGAAGAGTTGTTCTACAGAAGCCATGACGCGGACATCGTTTCGAGGCACATGGCTCCCAGCAGTCTGATGCAGCAGGGAGTGGGGAAGGGAGTGCCTCGGGAGGGGAGCAGAGGGCCGAGAGTGAGGGCGAGCCAGAGAGGGGGTGCACGAAGCGGACGGGTGGGGGCGGGGGGCGAGGGAGAGCGGGTGGAGGCGAATCGTGGAGTTGAAGAGGGCGAGGAGAGAGAGGGGGTCCGCAGCCTGGCCCAAGAGCCAGGGAGTTCCTCGGAGGAGGAACAGGTGCCCATTACCGCTACGCTTCCCTCGTTTTCCCCTATCTCGGCCTCCTGGTAGGCCCTCGTCGCCGCGGCTGGATTCGCCTCGAAATCCTGGTCAGAACGCACCCCGGCAGAGGTCCAGGGAGCAGCGGTATCGGTACCTTCTGGTTTCCCCAGTTCCGACCCTCTTGCGGCCCGCTGCTTATCGCACACCTCTGCAGCTGCGGTGCTGTGGACCACCTGGGCCTCAGCACAGCTTCCAAGATGTCGGCGCCCGGGGGCGGCGCGCTGGCTGCGAAGTGCTCGTGCTGGAGTTGCTGCGACGGCAGCGCCGTGGGGCAGGAGACCGGCGAGGTCGCAGGGGCGACGCAGCAGCCGCACCTGCCCGAGTTGGAGGAGGTGGAAGTGACGGAGCGGAAGCAGGAGCGGTGGGAGGAGTGCGGCGGCCTTGAGCTCGCCCCCGTGCTCGGCAGCGGGGCGGTTGTCCTGGTGGACGCGGAGTGGGTGGTGGAGCGGGCGGGCTCCGGCGGAACCCTCGAGCCGCGCCAGGCCTTGCCGCCGACTGCGTTCATGCCCCACAGCGGGGTCAAAGCTGCCACACCTGACGAAGAAGGCGTTGCGCCACTGCTGCACGTCGCTTGTATCTCACACTGTTGGTTGCAAGCTAATCACCCCGACCCTCACGGCCACAACCTGGGCATCCTGAGCCGGGCTTTGCAGCTGCAGTTCGCAGATAACAGTGATGATGGAATTTGTTTCAATGGCCGCTGGGCAGTGTTCGTGGATTTCTGTTGCATTCACCAGAATTGCAGGGATTGCGAGGGCTCCCCTCAGCGGTGCACGTATCAGCGGCTCGAAGGTTCCGAGTGCTTTGAGGCCAACGCAATCGGCAAATTCGAGCGCGAGCGTAAGCTCTTCACGGATGCCTTGGGCAGCCTTGGGAGTTTCTACTCCCACCCCGCCACAGTCGTATTCATGTTGACACGGTTCCCCGACGATTACGACAATTTTGCAAAATACACCCGATTTGGCAACATTGCGCCTTATTTCGACCGCGGCTGGTGTTTTTGCGAGTCCTCATGGGCAATGTTGACGAAACCTTCGTATTTCTTGGTGGACCTCGGACGAGCCACTGGAGACGAGATACGCTATTATGGCTTCGCTGACTGTTCGCTGATGCACACGGGGTCCGCAGGGCGGAAGGCGCTGGCCTTGCCCGACGCCTTCGAAGCGGAGCTCCACAGCAAGGGCTTCACGAACGGCAAGGACGATCGCCCACGGGTTGCCGAGCTGTACCGGTCGGCGTCCGCGCAGCGCTTCGAGTCCGCAGAGTCGCTGTTCTACGAGGTCCTGGGATGGGGGGACGAGGAGGTCAGGCAGCTGGCCGTGGTGCTTGCTTCGGGCGCCCTGCCGCGGCTGCAGGCGCTCGACCTTTTTGGCAACCGCGTGGGGGACGAGGGCGCGGCCGCCCTGGCGGCGGCCCTCCGGGCCCCGGGCGCCCTGCCGAGCCTGCAGGTGCTCAACCTCACCAACACCGCGTGGGGGACGAGGGCGCGGCCGCCCTGGCGGCGGCCCTCCGGGCCCCGGGCGCCCTGCCGAGCCTGCAGGTGCTCGACCTCGGCGACAACTGCGTGGGGGCCGAGGGCGCGGCCGTCCTGGCGGCGGCCCTCCGGGCCCCGGGCGCCCTGCCGAGGCTGCAGCTGCTCCACCTCGGCGGCAACCGCGTGGGGGACGAGGGCGCGGCGGCGCTGCGCGCGGCGTGGGCCGCGGGCGGCCGCCCCGTAGACGGCATGGGCGAGCTGGCGCAGGGCTCCTTCCGGAGGGGCCTGTATCTCTGAGGGCTTGCTCCCCGCTCGGAGTCTCCGGAGCCCTCGCTGCCCTGCTCTCGTCATCTCTCTCTCTCTCTCTCTCTCGTTCTCTTTCTCTGTCTCTTTCTCTTCCTTGTTTTTTGATTTGTTTCTGTTTTGTTTTCTCTTGTTCTCTCTTGTTCTCTCTCTCTCTCTCTCTCTTTCCCCATCCTCAATCTCCCTCTCACTCTCTCTCTCGCTTTTTTTTTTTTTTTCTCTCTCTCTCTCTCTCTCTGCTCTCTCTCTCTCTCTCGCTTGTTATCTGTCCCTTCCTCTGTCCCTCGCCCTGTCCCTCTCCCCGTCCCGCTCTGGAGCACCCCAGTGCCGGTCCCAGGTGCAGGTATTGCGATGGCGCCGACGAAACTCAAACTCACGTGGTCCTCTTGCGCCGTTGTCGGGAAGCGGCGCGGGCTCCCCTTTGGGAAGAGATTTCCGTGGAGGAGCGTAAATCGAGCGCACTGGAAGACAAGAGAGGTCGGGCAGTTGAGAGGGCCTCGAGGCTAGTGCGCCAGCAGGAGAGGCAGATGAGCGACGCAAAAACACGGAGTCGTGTGCTCCAACATTGGCGCATAAGTTGCCCGCGTATGGTCGCGCGTAAGCGCCCTCGTTTCCAAGGTGGTGTGACACGCTGGCGGCCCGCGTAAGCCGACGCGTAAGGTCGCTACGCCATCTCCCTCAAGACCTGTTTTTCATCGTCGCTCAGATGGGACAGGCGGGCGAGAAGGAGACGCCCCCTGGTGTACTTGTCGCCAACTCGACCGTGATCTCTGCACAACACATATACTTGAGTTCGACCGTGATCTGACCGTGGGAAGCCCCAGTATTCTTGAGAATCCGTTCGGAATCTCAGGATTGCGCAGGACGTGCCAGATGCTGTAGGAATCCCTTGGTTATTTGAAGATTCGTTGAAAATCCTCCAGATTCGTCTGGCTTGTTGAATGTTCGTTCGGAGGTTTCCGGATTCTTCTTGGGTCCTGAGGCTTCCTTCAGGATTGGTTGAGAATCTCAAGAGTTCTTCAGAATCTTTCAGGATCCAAAAGCCTTCAGAACCTTCGTTTTTTTGATATTCTTTAGAGTCTATAATATCTTCCAGAAGCCCACATAATCCGACATAATCGTTCATAATCCTTCAGAATAGTTCAGAATCCTTCAGAAATCTTCCAGAATCTTCCAGACTTCCAGACGCTCTTCAGAATCTCTCTTCGCGGTCGTAATCCAGTGCTCCCTTCTTAGAGTAGTTAGTATAGAAATCTTTTAGATTGCGATCAGTTCGTTTCCAGTTGTTGTAATCGGTCTGAAGCGGTTCGCGAACAGTCCAAAGTAGCTGAGATCGGTCTTATTATCCCCCCCTTGCCCGTCAGCTTCCCCATCGCCTCCCCTCCGTTATTTTCCTTCCCCTCCACCTCCCTTCCTCCCTCTCGCCCATCACATCCGCCACCCTCTCGTCGGCTCCCCCTGACGAACGCCACCCAGGCGCAATGTGCCGAGTGTTTCAACAGCCTGGTTCCGATTGGAAGGAATTGCCACTTTCGCACGCAAGGTTTGGTAGTCTCGGCTCCATCATTCAGGATCGCCGAGCTTGCAAAGCATGTGCCATACCGTTGCTGCGCGAGGTGTCTCGGTATCCGAACGCTGGACCGCCGAGCATAGTAGGGCAGGTATTTGTCCGAAGGCTTCTCGGCCCCAGGTGGGGCTGTGAAGCATTATAGCATTTGTAGTTCTTTTTGGTTGGATGGATGGGCGCGGCGGAGGCTTATCATTATTATCATTACTGTCTTCACGCCGAAGCCGTTGTTGTACAAGCGTTTTCAGGTTTGGCGCGGGCACGCGCAGCAGGAGGTGCTTACCAGTACCTGTTCCGACCTCCCGCCTACACAGAGGCGGCGCCCTTCTGGAAACGCATGTGCTCAAAAAATGCTGGTCTCTCCTTCTGCCTTGACCCCCCTCGCCCCAATCCTGCGGGGCCTCGAGTCTAGCGGCGCCGACCCTGTACGCCAGCAGGAAAGGCAGATGATCGACGCAAAAACACGGAGTCGTGTGCTCCAACATTGGCGCATAAGCTGCCCGCGTAAGGTCGCGCGTAAGCGCCCTTGTTTCCAAGGTGGTGTGACGCGTTGGCGGCCCGCGTAAGCCGCCGCGTAAGGTCGCTACGCCATCTCCCTTAAGACCCGTTTTTCATCGTCGCTCAGATGGGACAGGCGGGCGAGAAGGAGACCCCCCCCCAGGGTACTTGTCGCTGTGCCACCTCGACCGTGATCTCTGCACAACATATGTACTTGAGCTCGACCGTGATCTTTCGACCGTGGGAAGCCCCAGTATTCTTGAGGATCCGTTCGGAATCTCAGGATTGCGCAGGACGTGCCAGACGCTGTAGGAATCCCGTGGTTGTTTGAAGATTCGTTGGAAATCCCCCAGAATCGTCTGGCTTGTTGAATGTTCGTTCGGAGGTTTCCGGATTCTTCTTGGGCCCTGAGGATTCCTCCGCAGTCTTCAGCTTCCTTCAGGATTGGTTGAGAATCTCAAGAGTTCTTCAGAATCTTTCAGGATCCAAAAGCCTTCAGAACCTTCGTTTTGTTTGAGACTCTTTAGAGTCTACATAATATTCCAGAAGCTTACATAATCCTACATAACCGTTCAGCATCCTTCAGAATATTTCAGAATCCTGCAGAAATCCTCCAGGATCCTTCAGGCGGGTGGATTCATCAGGAGTCCTCAGGATTCCTCAGGAGTCCTCGAGCCCGTAGGAGTGAAGACTTCCAGACGCTCTTCAGAATCTCTCTTCGCGGTCGTAATCCAGTGCTCCCTTCTTAGAGTAGTTAGTATAGAAATCTTTTAGATTGCGGTCAGTTCGTTTCCAGTTGTTGTAATCGGTCTGAAGCGGTTCGCGAACAGTCCAAAGTAGCTGAGATCGGTCTTATTATCCCCCCCTTGCCCGTCAGCTTTCCCATCGCCTCCCCTGCGTTATCCCCCTCCCACCTCCCTTCCTCCCTCTCGCCCATCACATCCGCCACCCTCTCCCAGGCGCCTCAGGAAGTCGACACCCCATGCCTTTCGAATGCGTCCGGAATCGTTGAAGCTTGGCGTAGCACATCCAGAAACGATCTCGGGCCGATTCGCTTTATGGTTATTAATGTGGATGTGCATGCAGCCCAGGAGTGCGCAATCTATGTTTTCGCCGTCTCCCGAAGGAGAAATTGGAAGGATGAGGAAATGGAGAAGGGAGGAGGGAGAAAGAGAAGCAGCAGGACGACGATGCGGAGAATGATGATGATGATGATGATGATGATGATGATGATGATGATGAGGAGGAGGAGGAGGAGGAGGAGGAGGAGGAGGAGGAGGAGGGAGGAGGAAAAAAGGCGATCAGAAGGAAGAGGAATCTGACCACTCAGCTTGGGGTGAACCTTAGGTTAAGTCTTAGGTGGGAGCAGTAGGAGGCGAAAAAAGAGGAGGAGGAGGAGGAGGAGGAGGAGGAGGATGGGGGAGGATGGGGGAGGGAGACCGCGGCGACGGTGACAGGAGTCCACCATAGGGCCTTCGCGGATCTTTCACTATGGGAGATTGTTGGGGCCACGTTAGGAGCACTGTTGGGGTCTCTTGGTGTCCTTGCGGCGGCCATCTTGGAGGACGTTGATTAAAACATGGAGCAGATTAGCAGTACCCGACAGATCATATCTTGGAGCTCTCTCGGGGCGCTCTTGGAGTCGTCTTGGGGCCTGTCTGGGCACCTCTTTGGTCTCTTGGGCGCGCTCATAGAGCCGTCTTGAGGCCTCAGAGTCTTATCGAAAGCGAAAAGGCCAGAAGCAAACGACATATTCTGGGAGGCGTCTTTGGGAAGCTCCGTGTTAAGTTGGGACCGTCTGGGGACATGTTGAAGGACTGTTAGAGGCTATTTCGAGCCAACTTGGACTGCATTGCACCATCTTGGAGGCCGTCTTAGGACATCTGGGGCAATATTGGAGCCATCTTGGCCCGAAAGCTTCCCAAGCGTGTTCACGAAAAGACAACACCCTTCTAGACCACAGGTCGTTACAGCTTTCTGTGACAAAGGGGACGGCTCGAATTGACGTCGCCCCTCTAAATTGGCGACGTCACTTCGCGCCGCCCTTTTTCCATGGGCGATTTGTCATGCTCCTAGATTTCTTTGCAACACGACACGCCGCCTTTAGAGCCAATTCGGGACGGTGTTGGAGCGAGCTCGGGCGCCTTCAGAGTCGTTGTTCGAGACCTGCTTGCGGCTGTTCCAGGGTATCCTGGAGCCCGCTTTGGGCCTCGGGAGTCCATCGGAAGCGAGATGAAGAGTAGGCACGCAGGCACTTGGACACCTCATGCGGTTTTTGAGTGGCTCCTGCCTCGGAGGACACCTAGTCTTGGGCGGCTCCGTTCCGTGGCTAGGCGGAGCCGTCTTCTCGGCAGCCGAGGAGCTTCTTATGGAGTATGGAGGCATGCCGGAGGCCATCTCGAGCCGTCCTGGGCGATCCCGTGCTATCTGCAGGCCACCTTGTGGAGGAGGAGGAGGAGGCGGAGGCGGAGGCGGAGGCGGAGGCAGAGGCGTGAGGAGGAGGAGGAGGGTGGAGGAGGGAGGAGGAGGGAGGAGGAGGAGGAGGAGGAGGAGGAGGAGGAGGAGGAGGAGGAGGAGGAGGAGGAGGGAGCCACTGTCGGCTTCTGGGGTCCCTTCCCGGGCCTCGGGACCGTCGAGGAACGCCTCGGGATGAGACGCCGGTCCGGGGGGGAACGGGTCCAGACCTTTGTCGAGCAGTGGCGAAGCGCCCCGGCTCGCCTATAGCCCCACCAAACAATGTTCCCACGAAATGTTCTTAGAACATTTCTGGCCTGGACTGGCTTGCTTTAACACATCGGGTCAACGTTCTAAGAACATTGTGTTTATTCGTAAAACATTTTTGGGTTCTAAGAACATTTCGTGGTAGGACTATAGAAATGCCGGGGCGGTGGGTCCCTGCTCAACTCTGGGGGTCGACGTTGTGGAGCAATCACGACGTCGGGGGTCTGGGCTCCTGGCGTGGGCGAGGCAAGACAAGGCGAGGCGGCTTGCAAGATCGCCACCAGGATGACGCGCGACGGTCCAAGACGGTCTTCTCTCCACTGGGTCTTCAAGAGCCTTCAAACTCCCACAATCGGGGGCGGCAAAGAGGGGTGTGATGAC